GGACCTTTGCCAGCACAGCCGCAAGTTCAGCGCGGCGTGCAACTTCAGCAACATCCTGGTCAACCAGGAGAGGCTCAACATCAACACGGCCACCGAGGAGGAGCTGATGACCCTGCCCGGCGTCACCCGGGTGGTGGCCCAGAACATCGTGGAGTACCGGGAGTACATCGGGGGTTTCAAGAAAGTGGAGGACCTGGCGTTGGTGAGCGGGGTGGGAGCGGCCAAGCTGGAGCAGGTGAAGTTCGAGATCTGCGTGAGCAGCAAGGGCAGCTCGGCACAGCACTCGCCCAGCTCCCTGCGCAAGGACCCGGCAGCTTCTGAGCATCATCTCTCGGCCACCAAGATCAATATCAACACGGCCACCCCGGCCCAGCTCATGAGCATCCGCGGTGTCACCGAGAAGATTGCCAACAGCATTGTGGACTACCGTAAAGAGCACGGGCCCTTCAAAAGTATCGAGGACCTGGTGAGGATGGACTGCATCAATTCCTCCTTTCTGGACAAGATCAGGCATCAGATTTTCGCGGAGCGGTCCCGGCCCCCTTCGACGAACACTAGCGGCGGCCTCAACTTTGTTGCCAAGCCTCACCCTAGCCCCACTTCTCTGAGCCTGCAGAGTGAGGACTTGGACTTTCCTCCTGGGGGTCCAACCCAGATCATATCCACTCGCCCCTCCGTGGAGATGTTTGGAGGGGTGAGAGATGGCAGACCCGCCCTGCGGGTGGCTACCTGGAACCTGCAAAGCTGCTCCATCGAGAAAGCCAACAACCCGGGCGTGCGGGAGGTTGTGTGCATGACGCTGCTGGAGAACAGGTAAGAAGCAGCACTTGATCTGTAGACTCAGCTCTGGGGGGTTGGAAGTTATTGGCTTTGGGGTTCAGACACGCTTAAGTCCTGTTGTGATCCTTGTGGGACCGGCTCCTTCCTGGGATTACTAAATGTTTCCCACTTCTTGCATGGAACCCTGGCTGTGTCTTAAGGCTGGGACTGTAGTGACTGTCCCGTGATAAAGCTGCTGTAGTCCTTGAAAGGTGGTGGGCCTCCTGAGGAGGTACGTGTGTGCACACATCCGTGCAGAGAAGACCGAGCTGTTATGGTTGGTCAAAGATTGTTTCTCTGTCAGGAGCGTTTTGAACAAGTCGCAGAGGGCTGTCTTTCCTGCCAGAAGCTGAGAGGCAATAGCAAGGATGGGCTGCTCTGTATCTACCCTGTCTCTTACAGTGTTTCCCAGAGCATCTTCTGCCAATTAGGGAGGCAGGATGCAGCGCTACATCCACCTCTCCATGAGCTGCCAAGCTGAGACCTTCCAGTGCCTCTTCTTCAGAAGATCTCATTCGAGTGGTGACCTCCTTAAACTTCAGCATTAGGGCTGTAGTCCACTCTCCCTCAGATCTGTTCCTCAAATAAAAATTGGCTTGAGAGCACAGTCATGGTAGTTTGGGCTGTGTAACAAGCGTGGAATGCCACGGCTGGTCCTGTGAGGGTGACCCAGCTCATTAACGAGTAGTCACGGGCATCTGCTGAGCTGGAGAGACCACTCATCCTTGGGAGTGTGAGATGTGGGGCAGCGCTGTTGGGAGGCTGAGCTGTCCTTGTGCCAGGCGTACCCCTGATTTCACTGAGCTGGAGGGCACGGAGCAAGGTCTGTTTGCAGTGTGGTCAAGTAGAATGGTACTTCTGGTATTAAAAATACAGCTCTCTGCTTCTCAGACTTTGGGGTTTTTTTTGGTTGTTTTTTATTTTATTTTATTCTGGTAAGGTAATCAGGCAGTGGTACTGGGGATGTCTCTCTCTTGCTAAACTTTCTACTTGATGCAGAAATGGAAGAAGGCAATAAGGATTTTGAAAGGACTCTCAACCTTTCCTTTCCATGCATGAAATCTGTCCCAGCTGACCTGGCATTTAGTTTGCAGCACTGGGAAACTAACTTTTCCCTCTGGCTGCCACTCAAACTTCCAGCTGGAAGCAAATAGGGGCAGGGAACTCTTGGACTTCTGCAAGAGGGGATATCATGGGGATGGGAAGTGCTGATGAGCTGTTACCTCTGGTTGTGCCGAGAGCTCTGTCCTTTTCCAATAATGCTGAATAATGGCTCTTTTTGGTGTGGTTGTGGAGGTTAGGCATGCGAGAAGGAGAGTGGTGGTGATGTGGCATCCTGCCACAGAATTCATGGCCGAGGATACCTTGGGAACCTGATGCTCCCACAGAGGGAACATCTGTCATCTCATAGCCATCGCTTTCTGGTAGCCAAAATGGAGATGGTAGCCCAGCAGGGGCATTCAGATCTTCAGTCTAACGTCTTTCAGTATTTCTTGACTGCTCTGCTCGTTCAGATAATCCCATGATTCCCCCTTCACTACTCATTCTTTTGTGAGCAGTTGGTTGGCTGGAGTGGACCTTAGAATGAAAGTCTGGTGGGGTTGGGCATTGGGGTAGGGGTCAGAGGAGGACTGACCTGATAAGGAAAGAAACATCTCTGGTCATCACTAACCTCAGGATTATTCTAATAATCCAGTTTTGGAAGAAAAATTACTTTGATTTTATTTTTATTTGTATATATATTATTTATTCATATGCACATAATGTTTTGGGTTTTTTGAAGGACCTTATCCAGTAAAATGTTAACTGTCTGTCACTTCTGCATCTTCAGCATTTTGGAGGGGGGAGGGAAAAAACCCAAACCACCCCCAAAATGTCCATGCATTAAAAAAGCTAGGCAGAGAAAGTGACTTAAAAAATAACCCTGCATTAGCCCAGGCTGGACACAGTTGATGCAGAATGTGGCTAGAGCAGTTTGTTTTATTTTTGCTCTTAAACTGCATGGTACTTTGTTTCCGTCCAGCTTAGCAAACAGATATTTGGTTGTACTGGGTAGTGTGGCAGGTCTCTCTGATACTTTGAAGTTTTAAAAGGAGCCTGATAAAAGTGCTTGGTTTTGTTCCATGTTGTTGCACGTATGTGTGCCATCAATCACACAGGGAGAGTACGATGCAATTGTTTTCCATGCTTGATCCTCTTTGTGATAACGTGAGAAGCCGGAAAGAGAGTAACGTGCATCCACAGACAATCCTGCAAAACTTCCCTGGGAAAATAAATGTAGGAATAAAAAAAAAAAAAAATCAGCACAATGCAGGGGGAATAAAAAAATATGTTGGGAAAGGTCATACTTGGCACCTCAGGGAGAATTTCCTCTTTCTTGTGCTGGAGTTGGTGAGGTCAGTGGAGCTTCACAGCTGTAGAACAGCTTCAGCTGTGGTCAGAAACTGCCTTCTTTCTGTGTGTGAACTCCCTCCTGTCTCCGGCCGTGTACCCTTGGAACTAAATAAATGCCTCGCAAATTAATCTTTGCCCCAGCTAAATCAACCGCAGATGATCATCAGCTGGAAAAATTAATCTCTTGTTTCTGCAAGCAAGAATCCATTGCAGCATGAGGCTCACCGGCCCTTCATCCTGGTGAAATCCGTGGGGTGAGTGTTCAAGGTGGGTGTCCCGCACGCCTTGAAGAGGTCTTCAGCTATGACCCAAGCTGTTGTCTGCTGGATCTGAAGACTCTTCAGTCTCACAGCAGGCAGACACTCTCATGAGTTGTGCTGATGGGCACCTGCTTGATGATGGACTTTGTGCACATAAGTGTGCTCCAGCATCCCAGTCCCTCTCAGGCCGCGGTGGTTTCAGGTAGTCCTAGGTGGTCTCCTGAGCTGGAGTACTGCCTTGTTGCAGTACTCCTGATGGAGGACCTGCCTCATCTAGCTTTTTAAGTCCAAGAATAAAGCACAACAAGTCAAGAAGACTGTTAGAACTGTAAGGAGCAGTAAAAAAAAAATATCTTAATTTGAGATCTTGATTGAAAGGCTGGTTTAGGCTTTGCTTTGAATTATATAATCATAGAATGGCCTAAGCTGGAAGGGACCTTAGAGATCATTTTAATCCAGCTTCCCTGCCACCAGGGACGCCACCTCTCGACTAGATCACACAACACATGGAGACCAAATGGGAATTGAACCCGTGACCTTGGCCTTGTTAGCGCCATGCTCAACTGACTGAGCTAACCAGGGGTTTGTTGTTTTTTTCTCGTGATCATTTCACAACAAGTAGCTTTGAGACTCCTTGGGCTTGTTCCTTCGGGCATTAATGATGGGAAAGTTACCACTCATTTCCAGGTGAGGTAGAAGATGAAGGTCTTCCTGTCTTCCATCACTGTGTAGCGTTTGCGCTGAGGGAGCAGTCGTGCAGGAATGAAAGAGGGCTGTGCCTTCATTCAAAACAAGCTAAAAAGCAAGAAAATGTCATCATGTAGAGTAATCTGTTGAAGGGGGAAGGGAAAAAACCAGTATGAAACTTTCACACTTGTGCCCAGAAGTGCTAAATTTCTGAAAAACAGTGAAGGGAATGTATACCAGATCAGTAAGCATGACTACTACTGCTAAGCTATTTTGGAATTCATTGCTGCAGCACAAAAATAATGAAATACAGCAAGGTCCTCACCCTCTTTCTCATATTACAAGAATCTGTGTTTATCAAAGTGTTCGGAGTAGAAGAAGGAGGTGTTTTCATTCAGAGGCATAGAGGGTAATTTTAGACAAGATTAACATGATAAATGTGGAGGCAAGCATGAGGTGGAACTGGATTAAAGTATCGAGTGTAGGGTGAATTTGCCAAAACCTGCAATGTTTCTTGCAGGAGTGGTTCAGCAAATTTGGGATTTGTTGACGGGGGTTAGAGCTGGCCTGTCTGTGGGGACGCAGGCTATCCCCTCCAGCTCAATTCCATGTCCTCCCCATTCTTGGGGGATGAAGAAACCGACAACTTCTTCTCACCAAAACAAAAAAAAAGAAAAAGAAAAAGTGAAATGTATGGTTAGAGTAGCATGATTGGAAGGGTGAGCAAGCTCAGGTCAAAGGCAGCAAGTGTTTTCATGGAGAGGATAGGTAGCCCCATTAGAGATGTTTCCTCTAGCTGAGGTTGGTGGAGCACACCTCAGGTCCATCAGGAAGGGCTCTCTTTCCACTCCTCATCCGTACCTGCTGCAAGACTGTCCCTCCTGGTCCTAAACCAAGCTCATGCCTCCCACAACACCCTGTGGTTGATCTCTCTGGTTGTTTCATGGCGGGGCGACCTTATCAAGAAGCGTGATGCAGCATCTGCAACATCAACTGATACCTGGAGTATGCTAAAGCCCCATCCTCGAGTTTAATTGCCTGCTTGGAAGGTTGCTGGTAGCCAAGGGCAGTGATGGGTTGTACACCTTTCCTGGCGCAGGTTGCATTATGGCACTGGTTGTCGTTATGCTTTATAATGCTTTCTGAATACTTCTTCATTTATTTATTTTTTTTCTTGCTTTGGTCAGCTTCTTGGTGTGCTTACATCTTCTAGATGCAGAAAGTATAAGTAATAAAGCCTTAACACCTGTTGCAAAAATCACAGAGCTGTAGAAGAGCCCAAGTTGGAAGAAACCTCAAAAAATTATCTGGTCCAGCCTTTTGTGGGAAAGGGAGCCTAAATGAAATTATCTAGCATCCTTGAAAAACTCTAGTGCTGGGGGCTCTTCTGCATCACTGGAGAGGTTATTCCAGTGATTAACTGCAAAAAGAATATTTTCTTGCATGTGTGTAGAGCAATAAGCCCCAAAACCAATATAAAATTTGTACTTAGCACTGATGAATATTTATTTTCTTTTATTGGCTTAGTTTCTTGGACAGCAAGCCTCCATGCTTACTGTTTAGGAACACGTGAACCCTTCTTCTTCTCACAGCTCTCTAACCAGTTAGCTGTTTTCACTTTGGTTAGATAGAAGCATAGAGGTCTCTTAAAGA